CAGGGTCCATCCGGGGGGTCCGGTGGGCACTGTGCCCACGCCACGGTCCCCGCCAGGGCGGTGAAGACCAGCCTGTCCCTGCTGTGCGCCGAGCTGCGGGGGGACCCCGAACCCAAGAAGAAGAGGAGCAAGCTGGCTGAGGCGGCGTTCGGCAGCCTGAAGGGCTCCCCGGTGAGTCTGGCCCCGCCGCCGGCAAACGCCGCCCCGGGGCTGGGGGGGTGCCGGCCCCTTCCCAAGCCTCCCTGTGCCCCCCAGGAGAAGGTGCGGTGCAAGAAGAGCAGCTCACAGGGCAAGCTGGCCTGCAAGGTGGCTCACAAGGTGTCGCAGCTGAAGCAGAAGGTGAAGAGCAAAGGGCTGCCCGCCGGCATCAGCCCCTTCCGCCGGAAAGACCCCAACCCCAGCGGCCGCATCCAGAAGAAGCTGTCCCGTCCCAAGAGCTCCAAGGCTGCCAAGTACCAGCCGCAGGACCCCGACCCCCGCCAGCCGGCGGGCTTCAAAGGCAAGACCAGCACAGGGCTGGGCGTGCTGGGTCCAGCATGGGGCTGGGGGTGCAGAGCGGGTGTCGGGGGCCAGGACAAGGTGGGTGGCTTGTGCCAGGGGGTGACGCGGGGGCCCCAGCTCCCCCCGTCCTGCACGGGGAAGCAGCATCTCCCTGGGCATGGGTGGGGGGTGCAGGGGCCACCCCTCAGTGCACAGGGTCCCTCATCGCTGCCCCCTCGTCTTGCAGATGAGCACGACGGGGACACAGACAGCGAGGATGGTGATGATGAGCCGGGCTTGTCCCTGCTGCCCTCGGTGCCCGTGGCCGTGCTCGGACCCTCCCCGTCCTCCGTGGTGAAGATGGAGGCCAACGAAAAGGCGAAGAAGAAGAAGGAAAGGCAGGGACTGCTAGGTAACGGGATCGCCCCGTGGGGATGCCAGGGGGACACAGGGGACGGGGACCTCCCAGGTGCACATGCTGGGGCTGGGTGGGCACCCAGGGGGTGCCCTGAACCCTGTCCCCCCCCAGCAGGGCCCTGCCGCCTCGGGAGCCCCGAGGGCGAGGTGAAGATCAAGCGGCGGCCAGTGAAGCCGGGGACGGGCAAGCTGGAGAAGGTGCCGGCACGGCGGAAGGCGGGTGGCTGCGAGGAGGGTGGCAAGAAGAAGCTGAAAGCCAAGCCCAAGGAGAGCCTCCGGCCGCCGGCCCCCAGCGGCCCCAGCACCCCGGCCCCCGCC